CGTCCTCCGGAGGTGGCCCAGTGTGGGCACGCGTTCCACCTCGACTGCATCAAGGCATACGTCGTGGACGCCCCGGCCTTGCCGTCCGCCGCGCCCGGGGCACGGGGGAAGAGGAGGAGGAGGAGGAGGAGGAGGAGGAGGAGGAGGAGGAGGAGGAGGAGGAGGAGGAAGGAGGACGAGGATTTCTGTGGATTTTTCTCGGGACGCAGTCCCAGGCCCAGGGCTTGGTGCCCAGGCCTCGCTCGTCGCGCGGACTCGCGGCGGCCGCGCCGCGCGGACCCGCGGCCTATCTTTGCGTCTGGGCGGCCCCCTTTTGGCCCCCAGACCTTCTCTCTTCTCTGCGACTGGCAGCCCCCTTCTGGGCCCCAGACCTTCTCTTCTTTGCGACTGGCAGCCCCTTTGGCCTCCAGACCTTCTCTTTCTTTGCGACTGGCAGCCCCCCTCTGTGCCCCAGACCTTCTCTTCTTCGCGACTGGTAGCCCCGTTTGGCCCCAGACCTTCTCTCTTTTTTGCCCGCGCCCAGCACCTGCGTCGGCGGCCCCAGCGCGCAGCCGAGAGGATCATCAGCTTTGCTTCGGCCCCCCAAACGGGGGAGGATCACCCTCTCCCGCTTCTGGGCTCTGGGCTCTCCTTCTGGGCTCTCAAACCTTCTGCTGTTCGTCAACCGCCCATTTCCCTGGATTCGGCCAGGACCATACTCGGCACACAATTATGCATGTCATCTGCGTTGTTCTCGGGTAGTGTTGCGCGTGGTGTTCGCAATCAGCTGCTCCATGTCTTCTTCGTCGTTCCTTTCGTATGGATTATGTTTCGTGTGTTTTTTGGGCACTGCGCAACTGCTTCTCGTCCAAGGTCATGGAAGGGTCTTTCTCAATGGCTTGTGCCGTTGCCCTGCCTATTCTTCTTTTGATCAAGTATCCCACCGCGTTGGCCCAGTCGTAGCAGTCCTGCTCGCTCTTGGGGATTCTATGCTGCTCCGCTGCGCCACCTGCCAGTTCGTCTGCTCGTATATTGCCCTCCCATGCAGCTCTTGGGTATTTCTTGAGCCGTGCTTCCTCCCAGTCCATGTGGCTTTCGATGTGCTTGACGTTGATCTGTGCTTCGCCTCGGCTGTCAATGGCCTTTTTTTCCCAGCTTTCTCCAGAGGTCGCCGCTCGTCCCTATGAATGCCTTGTTACGGTGCTTCATATTCCTCCATCCTCGGCAAAGTACGCCGGAGTCTGTCCAGAAGGTCACGTCCCCCGTAGAGTGTGCCATGGCGTCGATCATCGCGTACAATTCCGCTGTGTTGTTGGTTCGCCTTGGCCCTGGGAGTGGTCCTTGTCTGTCGTCCAGGATGGTGAGGTTGTGCTCATGTATTGCAGCCCAGCCCCGTCCGCATCTTCTGTATTATTTGTCTGCCGCATCTCATGCATATTAGATGTTCGCCTAAGTACTCCCTTGAGTTTGATCGCGTTCTTCGCCTCGTAGCTCAGCGGCAGCTGCAGGCCGTCCTCCGTCGTGCATGTTGCTAGTGTTGTCCAGCTCGTAGGAGGTATGCCTCGTAGCCATGGCGCTGGTAGAACTTCTGCTCCTTCTTTGGCGTGCTTTGCCAGGTGCTCTGTAGCTGCGTAGTCCTTGTTATCGGTCTTCTGGCTGCACGTTTCCCATGTCCTGTGGTAGTCCGTATCCAACACTCCGCACTTGCATAGGCCGTCTGCACCGGAAGTTGTTGCTCCTCGGGCTCCTGTCCAAGTACCTCTGCATACCGAAACCAGCAGGGCCCCATATTCCTGATACTTGTCGTCTTTCTTCAACTTGTTGATCTGCTGTCTGACGTCCGTGATGTCTGCTCCTTGTTCTAATCCTTTACCGTTGTGGTGTCGAGCTGCTTTCTCCCAGATACTGCGCTCTACATCCTTCATGACTTGGGTGATCACATCGGTCGGGTCCTCATCATGGCCGTCGTCCATTGTCCATTGGTCACCGATGCTGTCCGTCCACCTCGTAGGTAATGTCGGGTCCCATCCTAGCTCGCTCAGTTGCAGGATCCGGCTCCCGATGATGCCTCTTCTTTTCTTCCACCTTCTCTTTCTGGTGCTTCGCTGCATCCTTCTTTTGATGACTGGTCATGCTTTGTGGACTGATTCGTGCACTTCAGGATGTCGCGCCCATAGGTCGAACCATGCTGTGAGCTGGGCTCGTGGTACTGTCCGTGCTGGATCGCTGCCCTCAAGTGCGAGCAGCGTGCTCAAGCATCTCCCCGTCCAGGTTCTCCGTAGTGCCTTACCGTACTGCCTCCTGATGTATTTCAGCTCCGATGGTGAGCTTCTGTATGCTTTGCATCCGTAGAGCAATGACGCCATGGCTCCTTGCTCTACCATGCCTTTGATCTGCTTGGTGTTCAACTGCCTCAGCTTGCGGCCGACCATGTTGAAGCGTGTTCCTGCCTTTCTCGCCCTCATACGGTGCGTCTTCCTTGCAGTGGTTAGGCGCGCTCCTCTTTCAACCCCTAGGTCGCGTCCTTCTTTGACTGGCTTAAATGTGATGTTCCTCTTGGCGAGCTTCTTGACGATGTTGGTTGTGCTCTTTGTCGTGGGGCCGAACACCGACTTCTCCGCCATATTCAGGCTGCTTCTTTCCAGTTGCTCCTTTAGCGAAGTGACGTGCATGACGATGTCCTTTTCCGTCGATGCTGTGCTCCCCGTCGCTCTCAGGCTGATGTCGTCGACCAGATCCGCGGGTTGGAGCTGGGTCCGTCGTTCAGGTGTCGGTTGATCGTGATGTATACCAGGGCCCTCGCCAGGTTGTTGTTGTGGCGCGAGCCTGCAAGTAGGGACTTGCTGGCCAGTGTGTGCTCGCTGTAGCAGCCCTACTGTCTGAGTATTCGCGGTGTCATGTGCTGGAGCATCGCCATAGCCAGGATCCGCGGTGGGAAGTTGTAGTACTGGGCTGCCTTCGCCGTGAAGCCGAACCCGACGCTGTCGTAGAATCTCTCGATGTCGATGAGCGCCCCCGCTGTGGTCGCCCCCAGCACGTCCGCGGTCTCGTCGCCGATGATCCTCAGGAGGAGGAGGCGGAGGAGGAGGAGGAGGGGGAGGAGGAGGAGGCGGACACGGCGGGTTGGGGAGCGGTGGAGACCCAGGCCTCCCAGGCGGGGCCGCGGCCGATGTGGGGCCGGAGGCTCGCGCCGCCTCGCCGATGCCTCGGCGGGGCGGCGAGGTTCTCTGCTCCGACGGCGGCGGCGCACCGCCGGCCTCGCCAGCGCATCGGCGATGCACCTGCGATGCGGCGCGAGTTTGCCGACCCCACCTGCTCGGTCCCCATGTGGAAGGCCTCCATGAATCGAAGAGAAGACTAGTACTAGTAAGAAGAAGGAGGCGAAGAAGAATACTTAGAAGAGGAAGACGATTAAGAAGGAGGAGAAGAAGAAAACGAAGACGAGGAGGAGGAAGCTGCATCACACAGGCAGGTTCGGAGCTCCTCGCAGATTTCTTGGGTATCGACGCCGGGACCCCCTCTGGGCGGCGCACCAGGGGAGGGGCCTGCAGCGGCCGTTTCCCTTTCACTTCCACTCCAGGCTCGCCGCCGACTTCTGTTTCGCTCGTTCGATCTTACGTCGAGAAACATAGTCCCACCAGCCCTCTGGGCGTAGGTGGTCTAACGATATCTTTCTTTCCTCTTCAGAAACCATCTTCCCTTCGGGGAGGGGTACCCTCCCCCTACCCTCCCCTCCCAGGGGTCTGGTCTGGACGGGGGGGGTAGCGAGTCATCAGGGGGCCCCGTTTCCTTCAAGATGGCTCCAAGAAGGCATCCGATGTCCCAAGATGACCTCCAAGAGGGCTCCAGATAGCGCAAGACCGCTCAAGATTACCTCCACCATGCCTCCAAGACGCCGCAAGAGGGCCACAAGACGGTTCCAGGTGTCCTCAACGACCCCACAGGACCTCCCCAAGAAGCCCTAAATGATTTCTGTTTTCTCGCCTTTTCGCTTCCGATGAGTTTTTGAGGCGTCAAGGAGGCCCCAAGATGGCCCAAGAGAGTTCCAAGAGGGGCCCAAGATGCCTCCAAGACGGTCCCAAGACGGCCCAGCAGCGCCCCAAGAGGGGGCCGAGAGCGTCCCAAGATGTTGTTCTGATGGCCCAGAAGGGGCCCTTCAGGAGGGGGGACTAACGTTAGTACCTCCCTCTTTTCACCGACACCCTCCACGACAGCTCCAAGAGGCCCTCCAGGGCCCCCAAGCGGCTCCCAAGAGAGCCGCAAGAGAGCTCCAAGAGGGCCCAAAGAGGGCCCCAAGAGCTCCCCTGGCCCCCACGCGCCCCCCCGGGATGGCCCAAAGAGGCTTTCGAAGGCCACCCCCTTGCTCCCACAGATCTCTCTCCTCACCCTGGTTGCACGCTTTGTTTCACTAGATGTGTCTCTTCGTCCCTGTTCCCGTCAGCTCTCACGGTCAGGGTCTCTGAGTGGGCTGGTATGGATACTTTTTGGTTCGCGGCTCCAAGGCAAATGTCAGGGAGCGGACGCAGCGTCCGGGATGCGGCACGGAGCGAATTTGCGAACACAGCCGCCACTATCGGGCTGGTAGGGATACGCGAAGCGTGAAGAATTCAGTATAATGTCTCGGAGGCCGCGCGGATTTCTCGGATCGGTTTTGGGCCCTCCCTGGCGGCGCCTCCAGCTCCGCCAGGGAAGGGGGTTCAGCGAAGACCCCAAGCCATCCGAGGAGTAAATCGTTCGCGTTTATGGTCGTTCTTCCTCCTCCTCCTCCTCCTCCTCCTCCTCCTCCTCCTCCTCCTCCTCCTCCATTCTCGTCAGACGACCCCGACCGCGACGACGACCACCACGACGACGACGACCACGACGGCGAGGCGCGCGAGCGGCGCTCGCCGTCGGGCGGCCCTGCCGTGCGCGCAGCGGTCCTCGCTGGCCCCCAATCGTCAGGTCTGGCGGCGTGGGCTGCCCGGTCTGCTTCACGAAGCTGAACATCAAGTTGGAGGAGACCATCCTCATCATCGTCGCCATCAACATGATCATCATACGCATCAGCATCATCATCATCATCATCATCATCATCATCATCATCATCATCATCATCATCATCATCATCGTCAGCGACAGCGTCAGCGTCATCATCATCCTCATCATCATCATCATCATCATCATCATCATCATCATCGCCGTGATCGTTGTCATCCGCATCATCAGCAGAAGCAGCATCATGATCAGCAGCATCATCACCAGTATCAGCATCATCAGCAGCATCATCATCAGCAGCATCATCAGCATCGGCATCAGCATCATCATCATCATCATCATCATCAGCATCATCATCATCGCCATCATCATCATCATCATCATCAGCAGCATCATCACCATCATCAGCATCATCATTACCAGCATCATCATCAACAGCAGCAGCAGCACCATCATTATCAATCCAGGCATCATCACCAGCAGCAGAAGCATCAGCATCATTGTCATCATCATCATGACCTTCACCATCTGAGGCACCGCAGGGATCTGAGCGAGACCTCGCCGTCCCTGGGGGGCTGCGATCTGCGACACTGTCGCCACTTGCGAGGGCTGCTGGTGGGTCCTGCGGACTGAGGCACCGCGGGGATCTGAGGTAGACACTGCCGTCCCTGGGGGGCTGCGATCTGCGACACTGTCGCCACTTTCGAGGGCTGCTGGTCGGTCCAGCGGAGTGGGGCACCGCGGGGACCTGACCGAGACCTCGCCGTCCCTGGGGGGCTGCGATCTGCGACACTGTCGCCACTTTCGAGGGCTGCTGTTGGGTCCAGCGGAGTGAGGCACCGCGGGGACCTGAGCGAGACCTCGCCGTCCCTGGGGGGGCTGCGTTAGTAACCACTACGACGCCCTTACATCTTGATCGGGGGCCTGTGAGCCGTCCGATTGCTGCTTGCAAAATCACAGGCGTCCATGTTACGTCATCGCCCCCGCTGTAGCAATCCTGATGTACTTATGCTCAGTATTGCGCAAGGGTTGGGTACGTCACCAGGATAATGTGTGTATTTCTTTGTGTGTTTTGGGGCCCCTTCACACAGGTTGTTCCCTGTTCCTCCGAGTTCGAGGATCGAAGCTCGATGAAGGAGCAAGGGGTTTCGCACACCTTCGGGCCTGCCTCGCCGGCACGGCTGCACCCGGGAGTGGTGCACACGCGTTCTGCCTGAGCCAGGACGGAAAAAAAGACACCGATCTTGGGCCCGGGATAGGCTTGGCCAGGATACGCGCATGTTTGTGGAGGTGGTGCATTCTTGGCACGTTCCGACCTGGGCTTCGCGTCTCGATGTTGGCTGCTCCCTGCTTCCTGCCGCCAGGACGGGGGAGGAAGGACGAGGAGGAGGACGAGGACGAAGGGGAGGAGGAGGAGGAGGAGGAGGAGGAGGAGGAGGAGGAGGAGGGGGAGGAGGGGTCCGTAGCCATTTTGTCTCAAGTCCGTAGCGGTTTGCTTGACGGCGCGGCATTTGGCGTGGGAAATCGCGGCCCCGACAACTCGCCTTGGCAGGCGCCAGGCACCTTTTCGGTAATTCTAGACGCTTCGCGTAAACCCATCAGCGCGTTTGCAAAAAACGCTAGGGGGCGCCTTCAACGCTATCTGGCACGCATGGTCCACGCGCGCGGCACTGGACAATGACGCCAAGGGATGCTACAGGAACAACCCCCTACCCAACGCACCCGAGACATGCTCGGACTTCATGGACGCCTGGAGGCGGGCTGGTTTCGACGCGTACCGGATGAACAATGAGCAGAGGCTCGGAGTTGGTTGGGACGCCATCCGCTGCAAACACGTGAAGTTCTCCGAGCGTTTCGGTGCACTTGCGCAGGCCCCCTGGGCAGCGGAGACCCGCAGGGACGGCCGGCCAGCGGCACAGGCCCCCTGGGCAGTCAGCAGTCCCTCAGGCTCCTCCGACCAATGGCATGGCTGGCAGGGCTGGTCAACATGGGGCCAAGGCGACACCTCGTGGACAAGCACCGAATGGAAAGGGGGCGGCAAGCGATGCCCCCAGAGGGACGACCACCACGACTCTGAAAAGCGAGGCCGTTGGTGGGCATAAGGCGACTCCGCAGCCTACGTGGTCAAGGTCGGCCGCCACTGAGCAACAAGCTACGGCGGGAAGAGTTGCCTGCAAGGCTGCAGGCCCCAAAGCACCTCCCCGCTACGGGTGCTGGCCTCGGGTTCATCCCACCACCACCCACACTCTACGGTGGCCCGTCAGGGCCCGTCTCACCTCGCTGCGCCCGGCCTGCCGGCCGTAATACCTCGGGGCCGCCCACCGCTGGGGCGGGGGCTGCCCTTCCCGCCCGGCGCAGCATAGCTAGACAGCCTCAGTTGGTTAGATGGGCGTGGGCGACGCACGGACTCCGCTGCCCACCCGCTACCACTTTCGGGCGCCTCGACGGGGCACTCCGCGACGTACCAGCGCAGACGACCCTCCCTCCCGACAGGACAGGCGCGGGGAGGATCCAGCGCTGGTCCCAGGTGATCACGCCGTTGGCGACTGGCGGGAACCAGTCTGACCCCGACGGTTGGACGGCCGCGTGGCAGGAGCGGGACAGCTCCTCGGCGCTGCAGTCATGCCCACTGGCGAGGGCGATGCAGGACAGCCCCCCTCCCAGTGCAGCAGCTGCGGCCCCCCTGGTTGTCTTTCGTCACTGAGCAGCCGTTAGCTGCACCCCTGGTACCCTCAGCACACTTGCAGGGACAGAGATGTCAGCGTTGCGGGCAGGCCGCCGACACAGCGGCCAGCAGGTCGATAGCAGACAGAGCCTCACTGGGGAAAGCTCTGCCCACACGTCGCCCCTGCTGGGTGGGCGCTCGTGACATTTACCGAACTCTGAGCAGCCGTTAGCTGCATCCCTGGATATTGGGCCACACGCCCCACTGGACGTGGACCTGTCTTGAACTAAACCCTGAGCAGCCGTTAGCTGCACCCTAGGCACGGGCCTTGGCTCCAGCCCCTCTCCCTTTCCCCCCCCTGGCACCAAGTGTCCCCGGCGGGCCCCTCCACGCGGCCGGCTGGTTATGTCTGCCCCCACCGCCCCCACCGCTGGAGGGTCCCGCACGGGCAGGGTGGCCCGTCAGGTGCCGTGACACTGCTCCTCGCGTGGGCGATTGCCCCCTGTTCCTGTCGCCCCCTGGTGCCTGCTCTCCCGGCTGCGCCGGCCACGTCATTTCCCGCCAGTCTGGCTTCCCTTCCGCGCAATACGCGTTTCTCTACGACGCTCGCGTCGTGACCCTGTGGCCATGGGCCGGGCCCGCAGTTTCCCCACGCTCGGGCCGGTCCGCTGCCCCTGCTCGGGAGTGACGTTTCCTTGGGCGCGCGCGCGGCGTCTCGGAGCGGCCCAGCCTTCCGCCGGGCGCGGCGCTTCCATCCTTTCCGCCCCACCGAGCCCAGGCAGGTCTACGCCATCGTCATGGCACTGGCCTGTGGCGCCCCAGCCGGCGACAGGACCAGCGTGCACCTTGCCGTCCCCCACTGCAGGATCAAGCGCACCTCGCGCCGTCACCTGAGCGGTCTAGCGCCGCGGCGCGCCCCCCACCATCATGTTTGCGAGGATCGCACGTGCAGGTTACTTTCCTGCTTTCGAACCTCCCATGGCGTGGGTTGCCGGCGCAGCGCGTAAAACCGAATTCCCTGGCATCTTGCTCTGGGCTGCGCGATGCCCGCGCTTCCCTGGGTGCCTGTTCAGCCAGCCTGCCCCCGCCCGGCTGCCCCCGCTGCCGCCCGGCGAGCTGGCCCGGCCGGCTTGAGTAGCACCCCCCAGCAAGGTTCGCCCGTCGGCCCGGACGATTTCTTCTGCCGCCTGCGCGTTCGCTCGCGGCCGCGACCAAAAAAAAAAAAACATCAGCCCATCCAGAAACGATGCCCAGAGGATTTGCCTAGATCAGGGAAGTGGGCAGCACGCAAAGGAAGGGCCCCCCAGTTGGGTGGGGCTTCTTGGAGCGTCTTGAGGGCCTCTTGGCGGTCCCGGACGCCTCTTAGAGCGTCTTGGGTGCCTCGCAGAGCTTCTTGGGGCCTCCCGGGGGTCTCTTGGGAGCCTATTGGAGGCCTCTTGGGGCCTCTTGGGGGTCACTTGGGAGCCTCTTGGAGGCCTCTTGGGCGTCTGTTGGGGCCTGCTGGGGCCTCCTGGGAGCCTCTCGGGGCCCTCTTGAAGCACGTTTGGGAGCCTTAGGGGCCCTCTTGGGCCATCTTGGAGCCATCTTGAGGCCTCGAATGCGAGCCATATTGAGGCCTCTTGGAGCCATCTTGAGGCCATCTTGGAGCCATCGGAAGCGGAAAGGCTCAAAGAAGGGGGCTCCCTTAACTGTTTCTCCCAAAGTCGCCTTTTTGCGCGTTATTTGGGCGCTCTTGGGCGCTCCTGGGGAAGCATTAAGGCCCCCTTGGGCCCCTCATAGGGCTCTATTGGGCCATCTGGGAGCTATCTTAAGGCTTCGAGGGGCCATCGGAAGCGAAAAGGCGAGAAAGCCAAACCATTGATTTTCCGGAGGTGTTTGAAGAATGTTGGCCTCTTGGGAGCATATTTGGGGAGCTCGTTCGGCACCTTGGAGCCGTCTTGGGACAGTCTCGGGGCGACCTGGAGCATCTTAGGAGTCATCTCGAGGCTTCTTGCGTTATCTTGAGCCATCTTGGACGCCATCTTGGGCTCTCCGAGGCCCTCTTGGGGCCGCTTTGCGGGCGAACAAGTACCCTCTGACACCTCGCGACCAGTCTCGCCCAGGCCCGGGGGAGGGGGCAGGGGGGGGGGGTCAAAGACGCCCCCCCCCCCCCCCCCCCCGCCCGCAAGCCGTCTCGCTCATTCCCACCCGCCCTCCTAACACATACGTAGCACCCGCCGCCGCCGCCGCCGCCGCCACCGCTGCCGAATCGCCGCCGCCGCAGCCGCTGCCGCCGCAGTCGCTGCCGCTACCGCTGCCGCCGCCGCCGCCGCCGCCGCGCCCGCCGCCGCCCCCGCCGCCGCC